CTATTGTAAATGCAAACAAAAGCTGTAATAAATTATATAGAATGACATATTCAATTCAATGAAAGGTGACTCTATGTAAAGCTATTTTTTATAATCAGATTTTTTTTCCCCACATACCATTCATCCATCATGATGAGTATGAAAGAGAATGTGGTTCTTTTCTTAGATTCAGATTCAGTGTATTTGCCATTTACAGTAAACAGTGGTTTGCTGTCATTTTGGTCATGAGAAAGTATTTCTAGAGTAAAAAAAGCTGGAGACCCTTGATTTAATTTGTTGACTATTCTTATTTTCTGTGTTTATAATTGAGAAATAAAAATATATATAAAAAAAAAATAGAAAAATGAACCGGTTTGAATGGTTTTTAGAATAATCATTACTCTTCTGGCCTCTGGAAGAGCCGTGTTCCAGCTTCTTCCCTCTGGCAGAAGATATTGTTCGCTGAGATGCAGGGCATTTCGTTTTGCTAACAGCTTCTTTCCACAAACTGTTATCAGTTTGAACAGAGCACTTTGATGATCTTGCGCTTGTATTGAAGCTGTTTTGGTTGATTGATTCCACTGTGTCAATTGTTTGCTGCTCTTTTTTAGTTTGTTTAATTCATTTTATTTTATTTATGCACTTGCCTGGTGCACACTGGGGACTTTTGCAAATGTATTCTAATGTGTTTTTTCTGCAAATGGCAAATATAATGAATCTGAAGATGTAGGGGAACATTGCTGGTAGATCTGAAATATGTAGCAGTTTTATCATTGCGAGATAGGAGCTGTTCCGTGGATTTCAAGAGAGAATAAGAAGGATTAAAGACAGGATCACACATTTGCACCATTTCTCATTATGAACCGTTTAATTTGTGATGAAAGAGGCAGCAACTCAAAATATCATTAATCCATGCACTGCAGATATGAGTGTTATTATTGCAGCTTTGATAAGGACCGTCCAGCGAATACATTTTCTAGCGTCTGACCGATGTGTGCAAGGACAACCAGTGTGGAGGGACATTATAAAGAAAGTACAGTATGTGGATATAGTTTTATGAAAAGAGGTCTCGGATCCAGTCCAGAAGTGTCTCCCGGACTGCCATGTTTAATCCGTTTTATTATAAGGCTCAAAAAGCTTATCTCTCTGAAACAGACGTACCAATCACTCACTCGATCAGCCGCGAGCTCCGAGTGAAATTACACTGTAGTTCTGTGGCTGCGCTGTGGTTGGACGATCTCATCTCTCTTGAAGAAATGGTTTTGCTTTTGAACGTACGTCTGTGCAGATGGGCAGATGAAAGTTACATGCTGCAGAGGAATGTTTCGCTCTCGCTTGTTTCATGGTCCACAGATTGGGAAACAATGATCATTATTCAACACCTGGTCATGTGCACAGACACAGGAAACAGATGGGACAATGTGGAAGCAGGAATCAGACTGGAACCTTCTTGACATTTCAGTGATTCGTGTGTTTCAGGGAAAGCCTAGTGTTCTCCAGTTCTATTAACACTCAGACTCCAAGAACTATGGAAGTAGCTGAACTCCCAGAGGAGTCATTTTGACTGCTCCCAAATCAATGTCATTCAGAAATAACCCCAGAAAAAAATGATTTGGTTCCCATCAGTTCTAATAACAGTACTTTATTTAAAGGTTTTTACCTTTACTCACTTTGAATAAGTGCTAGAATGTAAGATGGAATGTAACATACAGAATAAACAGTTTAAGAGCTACATGCTAACATGCTAATATGCTAACATGTTAACATGCTAACATGCTAACTGCTGGTGGAAAACCAAAAACCCAATTTGACTCAGAACCAGAATAGTCCAAGCCCAGTAACTAAGGGAAAAGGGGCTTTAACTGCCATAGAATGCTCGTTGCCAAGCAACCGAAAATGACTGCAATTGAATTTTACGTTCAATAACATTAGATTTACATGCATGGAAAAGTCAAAATTATTTCTCTGGGAGTTAACTCACATTTCAAAAATAAAAGATTGTTTCATAAAAATGAAATACCAATAGATGCAGAAAAAGTTACAAAGTTAAAATCGAAAAGCTGTTAACAATTCAAAACAAAAATTTTCTCATATCATTTGAATGATAAAAGTGCTAAAACAGGAAGCTGAAGCCTGTGAATATAACTGCGTGTCGCTTATTGAAACCAAAAGTAAGATACAATATGTGAGGACAGTTACCAGTTTAGGCACGAGTACCTGAATAAAACACACTGTGCATGAAACTGACAGCTGTAGACATCTTCAACCATTCTTGAACGGACTAAAGCTGGGGTATGTAACTTCTGTTTAACATGACACACTGTTAGTCAAAGGTAAAAGTCAGACCACAACATACAGTCTTCTTCTTAGGAGAAAACATGGTATATTTGATGCTATTTGGGCTGAGAGCTGATTGGTTGAAAAATACAAGCATAGAACCAAAGTCTTTGTCAACACACTGTAGATGGACTTGATTACATACAGTAATTTTTTTTCTTTTGAGGTGAGAAAGTTTGGTAACCCAGCTTTAAGTACACACTGGTGAAAAGTTAAAGACCCTCAGTTGGCCTCCGTCTGATGGTTTGAATGTGATGTAAACATATGTTCTGTGCTGATCCAGCCCTGAGCGGCACCGGCCCTCAGCTCTTTAATATCTTGGCAAACCACTGATGAATATTTTTCCACATTATCTGCTACACACGGCTCCGAGCTCCCTCCCAAGTAAATCTGCTCCAGTTTGATAAATAAAATGTGTGGCTGCATTTTTGTCGGTTTGCTCCCATCTCTAAGCTGGAAACATGCCGGCCAAATCAGTACCAAAACGCCATTTTATCTTACTGCCTTAGATTTATATGGAACAGAGCAACTTCCACGACTGTTGTAAGTCTTATGAGCCCTGACACTGACTTCACAACTTTTTTATTCACCCCTATTTTACAGTAAGAAATTCCTAAAATACGTTTAAGCATTTTCCAAATATTGGGGAACTTTTTGCTCAAAATGATTGAAAGAGCTCACTCTAAAGCTTAATGAGATCAGTTGAGAAAAAAGCAAAAACCCAGCCATTGTGCGGATTAGAACGACCTGGAAATCAAAATGAATGACCCCCTTGTAAGAATTCAATACCCAATTTTCTTCACTCTGAGAACAAAATTGCTAATTTTGAGAGCTTACACAAACAATATCGCTAATTGTTTTACACATTCAGAAACCCGTTCACTTGCATCCGGCATTGACTCACCGGTTCTTAGTCTAACTCCCATGTCTGAGGCAGATGTTATACAGACCATAACATCACTCAGTCCACCAAGATGCACAGATATCTACAGTAAATCTCCACTTGGATCACCAAAATAATCAACATGTCTTACAACTAACACTAACCTTCATTCAATTTCTCAACAAAACTTCTAGAATGAATTGAATCATATCTATGACCATATCTCACTAATCGCTCTCAACTCGTCCGCTCCCACACTCGACATTCTGTAGCCCTCTGTGTCTCTGCCGGGATTCCTCAAGGTTCCACACTCACAAAATTCTCATGTACACTCACAGACTCCATGGCTCACATCTCATCCTGCTTGGATCTCTCATGCTTCAAACTCAACAAAATTCAAATTTATTGACTTTGAATAAATTCCACTCATGTACCAAGCAAGATGTCTTACAAGGAATGTCCACAGTAGGCGTTAACAGTGCATTGACTGCGCGCACATGCACGTAACATTATTTGGATGTATGGACACTGGCCGTGCACGCAGGTTCGTGGCTTCTGATGCTCTCCCTGTGTAGTCTATGGAGAAGTGTAGAGGACAGTAAGGGCCAGAGGACTGATGTAGAGCAACACAAATCACATGTATGTGTTTGTCTTCATGGTCTCTGTGCGCTGGTCGGCCAGATGCCAGACTTTATGAAAAAAAAAAAAAACGATGTTCAGAATCACTGTAAAACCTGCCAGTCGTCCTGCTAATGTTTAGATACAAGTGCTGTGTGTGTGTGTAGATGCAATCTAAAGCCAAGGGCCGCTAAAAAAAAACCATGTTTCACATGTGTTTTGACTGGGAGACGCGTTGCTGCGCACACAGAATTAGAATTCCAACCTAAGTTGTATGACACTAGTAGTCTAAATATCACTATTGGTTTACATAGAAAAAGGTTAGCGCGTCTGCTGCACGTACAACGTGTACGTGGTGTAACGCCTCCTGTGTAAATTAGGTGTTAGTCTAAGGCAACCGTCTACAGATCGTCTCAGAGTACAAATACCTCGGGATTTTAATTAATTCAAACCTATCCTTTAAACCCCATATCCATAAAATCTGCAAAAAAGTATAGTCTCCGCAACTTTAAACACACCATCTACCAAATGGAAACTCCAGCCGGCAAAATGTCTATGCACTCTGTGATTTGGTCCCACATCACATACTGTCTACCACCTGGTCTCGAGTAACCACTACATCCCAGAAACCCCTGCAATAACTCCTCCAATGGACCAACCCTCACACCACTGCTCTATATTACACAAGCACAAAACTCCTCAGAAAACACTCCATACTCCAATCTCTGTCTGGTCTATAAAGTTCTTCTTTCATCCCCACCATTCACCCATTTTGTTCAGAGCAAAAACAAAAACAACTTCAACAGTATTTAAATTTGAAACCCATTTCTTTTCGAGTAAAAATAAAAACGTAGTGGTAGTTTCCGTCTTTATCTTTGCAAAATTCTTATAGTCAGGCCAGTGTTATGCAGCATATTTTAACATTTTATATAAATTATGAAAAACATGAGATGCCTTATGTGGATTGAGAAAGCAATGATTATGGCAATGATTATGGCGATACAAATTAAGATTGTTTTTTCTCTTCTTCTTTTGAATATTATACTAATCAAGTGCTATCCTTCTGCCAGGTCTCACAGGATCCTTAATAGAAAAGTTGTCCAAAAAAGAACTGTCATAAACGGGCTCCCGGTGGACGGCATGGCCCCTGTGTTATTGACATTGATCTGTGAGCTCAGAGGTCTCAGAGCAGCTCCAGCCTCATGTCCCTGATGTGCTGTAGTAGTACGTCTCCTCTCTGCTCCACAGCCCGGATCAGAGCGTGCAGACCTCCGGCTCCTCCACGGCTATCCCAGAATTCCCTGTCGGTGTAAAGAGAGCGCAGAAGAAGAGACTCCAGACAGCCCGACTGCAGCACGGATACAGCGCGTTCTGGAAATCTGAGGAAAAGCACAGGACAAGAATAAATGTACATAAGACAATTGTTTATTTGCAGATTATAATTATCATAAAGTTCTTGAAAACAACTGCAACAGGCCAAGGTGCAAGGCCAGGTCCTATACAAAACATTTTTCAATCCAAACACATTTTAAAACAACAAAAACCTCTATGGTAGGTATCTATCCAATCAGTTTTTTAGGGTTAGGTTAGGGGTAAACAATGAATCTATAAATGGAGTGTTAAACCAATCTATAATGGTCATAGCACAAAATTGTTCCAACGATAATGTTGTGCCGACCACCATCATTTAAGATAAGATGAGATAGACTTCATTGATCTCACACTGGAGAAATTGAATCACTCAGATTGTGCAAGAAGACAAAAAATATTGTCTGTGCAGGATATAATAGTGGCAATAGCAGTGCTGGTTTTATCAGTCCTAGTGCATTAGTCACTTATTGTACAGTCTGACAGCAGTGGGGATAAAGGCCCTGCGGTCGCGCTCCTTCTTGCACTGAGGGTGTCTCAGTAACGCACACATCTGTCTCATTGGCAATGTGTAGTCTGCCACTTCACAGCCCCAACTATCCAACTGTGGCACCTGGTTATATCCTGGTTTTCCCAAAGGTCTCCCATCACCACACTAACCAGGCCGTGTATTTCTTAGTATCTGAGGTCTCACAGGATCAAACTTGCTTAGATGAATAATAAAGCAGGTATGGTCGTGTAGGCATGGAAGTGCTTATTCTGACCAATATATTTATCATTCGATCCAGCAGCACAGTTTTCTCTCTGATACACTCATTTATCACTTTGGCTTTTGGTAAAATAGGGTTCCATTTATTTGTGTGTGTTCTTATTTCCTTTCATAAAAAAACCTTCTAAATGATGTTATCATGGACAAATGTGCCAAGCCAACTGCGTTTCCAATCTGCTCTCAGTGCCACGTTAGAATACCTAGTTTTATGCTGACAAAAATGAGCTGATATTTCTGCCTCTCCCAGTCTATCCACAAGGGAGCCATTAGCAACACTGCCTCTTCCAGATGTGTTGTGATGATTTGAATGCGACCCGCAGAGAGTTGGGACCACCTACATTCTTTGTACACTGACGCAATCTGTTACACCAGATCTTAATAAATTACCACAACAACTTCATTGCAATAGAATGGGCTCAATGTTGCTAAATTGTTTATGATTATACTAAGGATCGAGTAGCGTCCTTGATTGTCAGTATGCAGGAAAAAGCACAGTCTTCTTCAAAGAGCACAATGATTCTAGATGGATAGGTCTCTGAACCAGTTTCTTGTGTGTGGAGAATAGACTTTAAAGAACCTCCGCTTGTGTGCAAGACTCGCCAAAGTAGATCTGTGACATGTTAGTGCCATTTGAACTAACTCGGACCCTGAGGAGCACAGGGACTGGCCTCCTGCTGGGGCCCAGAGTCTAAACATGGGGAAGCAGCATGTTCAACAGTCTTCCTGACAACGTAAAAACAGTTCTGTTAAACCTTGAACACAGCTGGAGATTATTTCTGCCTTTTTTTTATTTATCTTTCTTTACTTGTTATGAAGCCTTGTGTATGAACTGTGCTACACAAATAAATTGCCCTGCCTAGAAACTAAAATCCTTTATTTTTGTATTGCATCTTTCTAAACAAGTTTCATAGTACTTCACAAAACACATGCGCAGGAACAAAATAAAACTACAGATTAGCCTGTGTTAAAAGCCTTTCTTTACAAAATGGTGTTCAAAGCCTTAAATAGAAAGGCATTAAATCTGCTTAATGTAAAGTGGAGTTCCATTGGGAGGGAGCATATTCAGAGAGTTCTTATATATATAGAATCATTTCACACCACTTAACAAGTCAGATCCATGCAGTTGCATCGAGTTTTGAGGTGTCGGGTCTGTTCGTTCATTTGCAACTATGCTGCTGTTAAGTCCTTGAACTTGTTTGGAGACAAGTATTACAGCACATGGTCAGCTACTGCTAACCATAAAAGCAAAGCAGCAGATGAAGTGTTTAACGCACATCTAAACAACACAAAAAGGCTGAATGTGAAAGTACATTACCAACAAGCTTTAACAAAAATACTATTTCTAGAATATAAGCAGTTTTTTAGCTGATTGAATAGCATCATTCTCCACCACTCACCTAAAATAACACCGCAGCTTTTCCGACAGTTGAGAGCGAGTTACAGAGCTGTTGGCAAATGCTAAGTGACAGACAAAGGGGGATTTCTATTAGCCTGGATACATGCGGGCTGCTCAATACAGACCTAATTGAATGAGCACTAATCTAATCAAAAAGGCAGAGTAATAAGCTTGGTGTGGACGGTTGGTTTTCCATCTTCACACGAGGGAAATATGTGTATTGTGGAACATCCCTCTGCCGTGAGCTCAAGAGGTTCTGATGTCAAGAGGGTCGTCCCCCACCCTTACAAAAATGTATCATAATGCATGGTTATACACATGTGAATGTGATACACACGTTGTTTGATATCAGCAGGTAATCGACAGTCCAGGATCTATGTCTCATTGGGAGAGGGTTCAAGGTTTTCAGCTCTGTGCCTTGATCAGCAAATGCCAAATTTGTTACGTCTTGTAGACATAGCCTCATTCGTGAACAGACACGACTCGGTTATGTAAACCGACTTAATGAGTGCCACAAGGTTTGACCCCCAACAAAATAAGGAAATTCCTCCATCAAGGTTACAAACTATATTCTGGAAATATTCTGGAAATTTCAGCCAACTGGTCAAATGTCAAAATCGAATCGCTGAGAAGCTTGTGTCTATCAAGTTTCCATATTCCAACAAAACTCTGTGGGAGGTTTGGGCAAAATCCTAGTTCTGAGCAAATCTTCTTGTTTATTTTACCTATATCAACCTACTATTCCATTTTTCCTTCTAGGCTGCTGGAAAAAAATATGTTGAAAAACAAGGAAGACAAATATAGTCAAATCATTCGTACTATTACAGAGGGAGGGTTTTAGTGTTGGAAAATATCAACATGGGATTACTGGAGTACATTGAAAACCACTGCCTCTTGCCCTTGAGCGACACCCGGGCCAATGTCCAGCAAGTAACAGCAACTTATGACAATAATGGTGATACATTTGAGAGAAAATCTACTTCATAATTGAATCTTACAAATATTGCAGGCAAGGTACTCTAGCCCAGAGCGATAATCCACACTGGAGTCAAGGCAAGTTTATTTGTATAGCACAATTCATACACAAGGCAACTCAAAGTGCTGAACATAATTAGAAAGCATTAAAATCATAAATAATCACAGTACATTAAAAGGAAAGATAAAAATATAAAATCCCTCAGTTGTATGCACAGCTAAACAGGACTGTTTTGAAACATTGTCAGAGAGGAGGCCTGTCTCACATCTTCAGGAAGATTGTTCCAGATTTTAGCAGCATGAATCTGAAAAGCAGCCTCCCCATGTTTAGTTCTGACTCTGGGCACTAACAGGAGTCCAGTCCCTGTGCTCCTCAGAGTCCGGGCTGGTTCATAAGGGACTAACATGTCACTAATATATTTTAGTGCGAGGCCATGGAGAGACTTGTACACAAGCAGAGCTGTTTTAAAGTCTATTCTCTGAGCCACAGGAAGCCAGTGCAGAGACCTGAGAACTGGACTAATGTGGTCGTACTTCCTGGTTCTAGTCAGAACTCGAGCTGCTGCATTTTGAATGTACTGCAGCTGTTTTACAGCCTGTTTGGACAGACCTGTGAGCAGGCCATTGCAGTAGTCTAACCTACTGGAGACAAATGCATGGATAAGAATCTCCAAGTCTGCTTTAGACACTATGTTTTTGATCCTGGCAATGTTTTTTAGGTGGTAAAAAGCTGCTGATGTTACTGATTTGATGTGGCTATTAAAATTTAAGTCTGAGTCCAGTATTACCCCTAGATTTCTGACCTGGTTTGAAGGTTTTAGGGAGAGAGACTGTAGATGACAGATGACGCTCTCTCTTTGTTTCTGGGGACTAAAAACAATCATTTCAGTTTTGTCTGCGTTTAGCTGAAGGAAGTTGTTTTGCATCCACTCACTGTGAGTCCACTGGTCCATGTTCTCCTGCAGTCAGTGAGACATAGATCTGAGTGTCGTCTGCATAGTTGTGATAGGTCAGTTAATACGCAGAAACGAAGTGTCCTAACGGCAGCATGTAGCGATTGAACAGAAGAGGTCCCAGGATCGACCCCTGTGGTACTCCACAGGTCAGGGCCATATGATCTCAGACACCGTTTCCAATCTCCACAAAGTACTTCCTGTCTTCAAGGTAAGACCTAAACCAACTTAGGGCGGTGCCAGCGACGCCAACCCAGTCCTCTAGTCTCTGCAAGAGGATCTCATGGTCGACGGTGTCAAAGGCAGCACTCAGATCTAACAAGATTAGGATTGAGACTTTGCCTGCGTCAGTGATCAGCCGGATATCGTTTGTTACCTTGACGGGAGCAGTCTCAGTGCTGTGGTGGGGTCCAAAGCCGGACTGAAACATATCAAATGAATTGTTGATTATAAGAAATCTAGTAAGCTGTAGGTAGACAGCTTTCTCAAGGACTTTCCCCATAAATGGCAGATTTGAGATGGGACGATAGTTGTTCAGTACCGTGGCATCCAGACTGCTGTTTTTTTAGTAGGGGCCTGATGTCTGCAGTTTTCAGGGCCTTTGGGAAAATCCAGAATGAAGGGACATGTTTACTATCTGTGTGAGTGAAGGTAACAGACTGCTCAGAACAGACTTCAGAAATCTAGTGGGTAGTACATCCAAGCTGCATGTGGAGGAGCTCAGACTTGTGATTATCTCTTGGCCAGTTTTATCATCCACAGGTGCAAAGTGAGTTAGCTCAAAGAGCCTTTCTGGCTGTTGGATCGTTATCTGTGGATTGGAAACAATGACGTTTTTGATGCCTTGAACCTTGTCATTGAAAAAATTTGCAAACTTATTGCATTTATGTTTGGAAGTAAGCTCTACTGGCAGCTGAACAGGGGGATTTGTTAATCTATTAACTGTTGAAAACAGAACACACAGATTGATACTGCAGCCTTAAATCATTTCAGAAAAATACCTTTCTCTCGTACTACGTAGCACCCGGTTAAACTTGCACAACTTATCCTTGAATATCCTGTAGTCAACCTGGAGGTTGGACTTGCGCCACTTCCGCTCGGCCCTCCGGCCCTTTCTCTTCAGTGCTCTGACCGAGTCCACTTTAGCCCACGGCGCCTTCTACTTATTTTTCACTCGCACACCTCTGGGTCAGTGCCGGCTCAATGACAATTCTCGACAAACTCAAACTCTGAGGAGCAAACGGACTGGCCTCCTGCTGGTGACCAGAGTAAGGACTAAACATGGAGAGGCAGAGAAACGAGGTGTGATCAGGGGGGGCGGGTCCTGGCTCAAAAGTGGCCAAAATGACGTGCGCTGACATGCTGCAATACCACCCCGGGCCGATGGGGGTGGATCCGGAATAAGAATTAGCCAATGCTAACATATAGCATTAGCTGACCTCTCGGAAAGGTCTTTACAGGATCGTCCAAAAGTTGGCTCTCGGCCCAAAGCTCCGTTCCACATGTGTGTCAATACTGAGGGGCGTGAATTTTTTTGGACCAGTCTAGTTTACTCGCTGTGAATTTTTGAAGGCACTCATTAAATTAATGGCGCTCTCGCCGGTTGTCGCATGCGCTGATGCGTTATTTCACAATTTTCTTGTGGGAGGGACCACTTGCGGCCAATTTGGAAAGCTCCAGTACAGCACGATTTTTAGCCCATTTCTTTGAACGGCCGAGATAGGCGTGACTACGTCCGTTAATATTTACAGTCTATGGGTGTGATCAGCGCCTTTGAGCAAAAGTTGATGACAGAATTCCAAAAGAAATAAAGAAAGGGACAGTTAAACTTTGCAGCCTGGTTACTGGCATGGGAAAATATCATTATGGATGACTTTTTTATCCATTTCAAAATGAAGGTGGACAGGAAAACAACTAATGGCTGGCAAAAGGGCCCAGACAAGAGGAACAGACTTGACCCCAATGGATCTCAACTGACTGACACCCACTGAGTGCTTTAAAGTGCAGGAGAGCCATACAAGTCACTGGAAAGAGTCTGGGAGGTTGTTGTTAAGAACCTAGAAAGACTCTGCTCCCCTGCATCACTTTCTGCTGACTGATTCAGTGGATGGAAGGCTGTAGTTTTTGAATAGGATAGATATGTCACTAATCGTGGAAACCTCGCGCCGGGAAAATTGCATCTGTCGGCCAAGCTCTGCCAAACGAGCTGAACACGTTCTACTGTCGCTTTGAATCCGCTGATGCCTGTCCTACTGTATTCCCTGAGTGTTTCAATCAAGGTACCTTCACCGTGACTCAGGAGGAAGTCAGGCGTGTCTTGTCCAGGACCACAGTCCGGAAAGCCCCAGGCCCGGACGGCATCCCTCCTCGTGTCCTGAAACTGTGCTCTGAGCAACTTGCCCCTGTGCTAACAGACATTTTCAACCTGTCGCTAAGGAACTGTACTGTGCCGAACTGCTTTAAAGAGTCGACCATCATTCCAGTTCCTAAGAAAACTCCTGTGACATGCCTGAATGACTATCGTCCTGTGGCCCTCACGTCTGTTCTTATGAAAACTTTTGAGCGGCTTGTGCTGGACTTCATTAAGAGCCAGATCCCTGTGAGTGTTGACCCGCTCCAGTTTGCTTACAGACAGAACAGGAGTGTGGAGGATGCCATCTCCTTTGATCTGAACTCTGTCTACAGTCACTTGGACACTAGTAAATTTGTCGCGAGAATGCTTTTCATCAATTATAGCTCTGCATTTAACTGCCTTGTCCCAGGTAAACTGATTGAAAAGCTCATGTCTTTCGGTTTAAGTGTTGCCATGTGTAAATGGATTTTTAGCTTTTTAACTGACAGATCTCAGAGAGTGAAAATCAATGACTGTTTTTCTGATGTTGTTTCTGTGAGCACTGGTTCTCCTCAGGGATGTATTTTGAGTCCTTTGCTTTTTACTTTGTACACTCACGATTGTGTGTCCTCCTCTGACTCAAACTTGATCATCAAATATGCTGATGACACCACCATCATCGGTCTCATCAGTGACACTGATGAATCCTCTTATAGAGCAGAGATACAAAATGTGGTTCAGTGGAGTAAAACTAACAACCTCCAGTTGAACGCATCCAAAACATGTGAACTGGTCTACGACTTCAGTCGCAATAGTTCTCATTTGCCTGTCGTAATCGACAACTCCCAGGTGCAGATCGTAGAGGAGTGCAAGTTTCTGGGTTTAACTCTGTCTAACGACCTGAAATGGGTTAAAAACACTGACCGAGTCGTTAAGAAAGCTCGTCAGCGTCTCTACTTTCTGCGTAAACTTAGAGAATTTACCACTAACTCTAAGATTCTGCTTAACTTTTATGGCTGCACCATTGAGAGTTTACTTGTTGGTTCTGTGTCTGTGTGGTTTGGAAACATCACAGATAAAGAAAAGAGAGCGTTAAACAAGGTGCTCCGCTCTGCAAAGAGGACCGTGGGCTGTGAGCTTCCTGTTCTGGAGGTTCTTTATAAATCCAGACTTTTAAACAAAGCTCTTAGGATTGTCAATGACTCTTCTGGCCACCCTGGGAAAGCCATGTTCCAGCTTCTTCCCTCTGGCAGAAGATATCGCTCTCTGAGATGCAGGACATCTCGTTACGCTAACAGTTTTTATCCACAAGCTGTTATCAGTGTGAACAGAGCACTTTAAGGATTTGCACTTGTTTTGAACTGTTTTAGTCGATCGATTTCACAGTGACATTTGTTTACTGTTTTATTTGTTTTATTTTTGTCTTTTAATGTTGTTTTATGTCTGTATTTCTCTGTGCACACTGGAGACTTTTGCTAATGTATTCCAATGTGTTTTTTTTACTGCAAATGGCAAATAAACTGAATCTGAATCTGAATCTGAATCTAATAAATGTGAGGGCTACTCACAAAATGTTTATGGAAATATTTGGCTTTGTCACGTGACTATTCAAAACAATAAAAAACACATGCAATGCAAAAATGCTCAAGTTTGATCAAGTTGCATTTATACATTATCTCTGCACACCCACATTTACCAACAAACATCCACTTGCAATTCACTAGTCTTTATTTCCATTGCACACAACATAGATAAAAAGCTACATACACTGCGGTGCTAATGGTCTCTGTACTCACCGGTCGATCCCCTGGAGCAGTCTGAAGTTGAGGTTGTCTACAGGCTGCAGTGGGCGGCCGGCGTTGTCAATAAAAACCAGTCTAGTGGGATCTGCTTTCCTTACCTAGCAAGCAACATAGGAAAAAAAGGAACATTTGCATAAAATACAAAAGTAATTAATTATTCAATTAAAGGCACTATACCCGTTTCTGCAATGTTTAAATGTTTAGCACCGCCCCCAACTCGCTCACAGGCTTCTCATTTCCCCTACACTCTCATAACACAGAGCCACCTAGTTTTATTTGCGATCTGACATGTACGCTAACATTAGCAATAGCACAACTTCTTGTAAGCTGTGCAACAATCACTGATGAAATGGTACAAAAGCAATGCACTGGTAACACAATATATAAGTAAAAGAATACCGCTAGTTTCGCGTCCAAATGTATTAATTTAAACATTAGAATATATTCTTATATTTCATTATAATTTATTATACAGCTCATCACAGCAGCAGTAGAACACTCCATTGACTTGAATGCAATTATTCCGATCATTTTTTCTTGATAACAGAACTCTCAAATCATTAATGACCGCAGCCCCAATGCAATCTCTGTTTGTAATTCAGTCATTAAATACATTTCGAATTATAAGGACTGTCTAATATTTGTTTGAATATATATTCATTTTTTATTTTAGAATTATATTCGAATTTCGAAGCCGAAGCCCTGGTGTTAAGCAGCGCTGTAGGGGCTAGAGGACGCAGGCTGTTCGCTCCTTGTTCTGTGAGTGGAGGAGAACGAGCGTCCCGCTCAGACTCTACTCAGCACTTTTCACGGCATAAATTTCATACACAGCTGAATCAATGACCTCAAGTTTTCAATTAAATTATGTATTATGATACAACTTGTATGTAGTAAAAAGCATTTTTATGTACTTAGAAAAAAAATCGGGTATACAGTAGCTTCTTTAATGGACGTTCTAAAATGCATCTTAACTGGCCATGGCAACATTGCAAACTAAAATACACAAGTTTGCATTAACTCATTAACAGTAGCCGCTTGACTCACAGGAACGTTTCTCTACCTAGATTTTTAAAGGTTTTGGGATTTTGCACATTTTTCTCCAAGACACAAAAGACTGGGCAAGTTTATTTGTACAGCACAGTTGATATAAGCAACAAACATTTCTGGACAACATAAGGAAAATAAAAGAAAATCATACAAGGCATTAGAATAATAAACAATCCCAGTATTTTTTTTTAAAAGACTGAAGATACAATCCTTCCGTTGTTTGCACAGATAGTATGTAGAAGCCTGTCTCATGTTTTCAGGAAAATTGTTCAAGCTGCATTCTCTGAAATCTAAAATATTACCTGCCCATAATTAGTCCTGACTCTGGGCACCAGCAGTAGATCCCTGTGCTCCCCAGAGTCTGAGTTGGTTCATATGGAACAAACAGGACACAGGTTTGGTATCAGGTCATGGATTGACTTGAACTGAAGCAGAGCTGTGTGAAAGTCTCTGAGTCTCTGAGCTACAGGAAGCCAGAGCAGAGACCTGAGAACTGGACTAATGTGATCGCATTTCCTGGTTCTCACAACACAAGAATAACAATATCTCGGGCCGCCTACTCTCTGTTGTGGGATTTGAGTAAAGTGCATCACAGGCTTTGGACCAAATCATTATGAAACACTGAATGGATAATTTAATGAAGGGGTTTGAAAAATGATATTATACAATCTCTAAAAGAATAGTCTATGTAAAGCTATGGAACACTCTGCCCTTCATTTTAATTGTTTTATTTTATTTGAATGGTTTTATTTCATTTTAATTGGTTTTATTTTATTTCAACTGTTTATTTTTTTTCCGTTGTGATTTTTTTAAAATCTGTGCTGCACTTTGGAAAAATGTTTTACAAAATGTGCTTTATATATATATAAAGTGGATTGGATTGGATGGTCCACAATCAAGTCAAGTACCTCCCTTTATGCGCAGTAAAGTTTTCTTCAAAGCTTGAACGGAAAATTCAGACTTTTTAATTTTAATTTTATGTTGAAGATACAGGCCTCTCCGTCCTATAATGAATGAAGTTTTTCCCATAGCAGCAGACTACAGTTGTGTGGCCTTTTCATTAAACAAATCTTTCTCTGACGTGAAAAATCATTGACTCACAATCTGTCACAATCAGAGCGGTTTCAGATAATGTTTTTTTTTGGTTCAATCCTCAACGTCTTTCAAACCGCAGTCCTGTTTGTGTCCTCTTTGTTGACTGAAGGCTGTCGTCATAAACATAAAGTTTCTAGAGCTTCGTATACCACACAAAACACTCAACAATGTCATTATCAGATGCAAGCCAGGCGCCTGTAAACCTGCTGTTATTTTTATACAAACAACTCCACCGCATCTATTTTTACATGGAGCGCCAACCCATCACACAAAACCATGTAAGATAATCATCCACAACATCATGCAGGATCCAATCAGTCAGAGCAGTTGCCCCCAGACACAGTGGTGGGAGAAAGAGAGTGGATATAGATCTGTCTGTCTGTAGCTTTTTATATGGAAAGACGGCTACACTAAGAATGCATTTGTTTGTAAATCAGTCATACAGAAACCCAATGTTGGATTCAAAATGCAAGTCAAAATGCAGATACAAATCAGAAGTTTCGGTGCCCCAGTGGTTGCATCTCCTCTAGTCTGTCTCATTTATGAATTATAATGAGGACATATCCAATAGACGTTACACCTTTATTGTATTCAAAATTCTGCAGCTCGAGTCCTGACTAGAACCAGGAAGTACGGTCACATTAGTCCAGTTCTCAGGTCTCTGCACTGTCTTGCTGTGGCTCAGAGAAAATACTTTTAAGCAGCTCTGATTGTGTACAAGTCTCTCCATGGCTTTGCACATGATGACTCTGAGTTTAGATTCATGCAGCTAAAATCTGGAACAGTTTTCCTGAAAATGTGAGACAGGCTTCTTCTCAGACGATTTTGAAATCCATGCAAAAATAAATAAAAATGGTTTAGTTGTGCATACTACTGACGGATTTTTATCTTCACTCTTTTCAATGTACTGTGATTGTTTATGATTTGAATGCCTTGTTTCTATCTTGTTTAGTTAAGCATGTTGAGTTGCCTTGTGTATGAACTGTGATATACAAATAAACTTATATTGCGGTTTTAAAAAACAAAACAAAAAAATAGTGAAATTTGAAACCACTTGAATATTTTTTACCAGGATGTGAACCAGCTGCAGGTCTTTGTTGTTCCCACATTTGGACTGAAGCCGGTTCTGCACACACAGGTCCAACGGTTCGGGCTGAAACCCACAGCAGTACCGATCCAAGCGGTCATTCACCTGATGTAAACAAACACATATATTTCTACAGACTACCAAAAAAACAACAAAATACCAATGTGAAGAAAAGCAAGAAGAAACATATTGAAGATGGTTGCATATTTTTTACATTTAGCGTGGGCGGCACAGTGGCTGAGAGGATGGCACTCAAATCCTGGTCGAAACAGGGCCTTTCTGAGTGGAGTTTGCATGTTCTCTCTGTGTCTGCGTATGGTTTCCTCTATACCACTAAAGACATGCGGATTAGGTAAATCCTCCAGCTCTAGTCCAGACCATGCCAAGCATCAACACCCGGAGCTGGGATCTGACCACTGCTCCTGATGGAAGCCTTAGTAGCATCAGGATGGGTCAAAAGCAGAGGACAAATTTCCCTGAGGGGACAATAAAGTGCTTTGGTTGAATGACCTACTAATGTCATGAGCTAAAGTGGCATCATGTTCAAATGTGGGGAAATGCAAGATATGAACTCCTATAACGTTACGGGGACATTTTTGACAAGAGCACATAATCACATTTACCCTAAATTTCAATTAAGGCTTTATTAAAATAACAGATATGATTGAAGTGGTATTTCAATGTTGTTTCAGTGCCACTCCAGCCCCTTCCCCTCTGTGTGCCCTCTCACCCAGTTGCCACTTTACACTTACTATACCAAAGACAAGCTGCCATTTTCACACTGATCCGGGGTCTGTTCTGCGGTCCACAGACCTCTGCAGCCCAGTGTTGACTTTACCCAGCCTGAGATGTGTGTAGCGGCTGTGGTTAGAGCCAGTGGAGGTGTAAGGAGTTTGTGGGAGGCAGAAAAAATAAACTGTGTTGACCACTTGGCTCAATAAAAATCAATCTGCAACACAAGGAATCCTCAAGAGATCCACGATTTTATGCCTGCAAGAAATTGTTTTTAGCTTTATGAACGAGAACTCTTCTCAGCGCTCTGTCAGCTGCAAACTGTGGCATTTTTCACAACTAAAAAGACATTGTTCTACTACATGCCACAATATTGACTTAAGGTGTCTCAGCAATACTGGCTCATTGACTTCCTGTTTGAAACGGATAGCCTCGTCCTCATATTGCAGCCGGGTTTTAGATGGTGCCCTGAATGTGGAAGGCATGCCGTTAAAACAGGAACACAGGATCAAGAAACATTATTGCACCGAAGTGAGTGCTGTTTTTTAAAGTATTGTATTCCTAACTAATTTTTATCTGATTGTGACCACAACAATGAATATATGTGATTAGATTTTTGTAAAAGACTAGCACAAAGTGGCAGACAATTGTAGCTGATACATACTTTCATTATTTAAAAAAATAATGAAAACGAAAAGGTAAAAAGTTGACCTAAATATTCAGTACAGTTTCACCATCGAGTGATTTGAGCTAACGATTACTGTTCAGTGGTGGACTCAGAGGTTTGTGAATATTTGAGAATATTGGTCATCAAAGAACATCATGAAGTCCAAGGAACCTCCAGGGAGGATAAGAACACATATGACACTGTAAACCTACCAAGACACAGCCCTCTGCCCAAACCAACAGCTCAAACAAGAACAGGACTGGCCATAAATGCAAACAAAGAGGCACATACTTTGGAGGACCACCACAGCTCACCTGCATGGGAGTCTGTACCTGGGACTACGATTAGTTATGCACAACCAAATGTTGTAAGTAAGTAAAGTGTTGTTTATTTATATAGCACATTTTACAGACCAAGGTCACCCAAAGCGCTTTACAATGTTCAAAGTTCAGATATTGTTCCAATCATTCCACACACGGAGATGATGGAAGCAAGTTGCTGGCTGGCACATCAGCCCCCAACCAACCAACATCATCCATTCACTCTCTCATTTACATTCATACCTATTGTGCATGTTTTTAGTCGTAGGGGAAACCAGAGCACCTGGACGAAACCTACCCAGACATGGGGAGAACATCCAAACTCCACTCAGAAACGCCCTGCCCCGACCGGGATTCGAACCCAGGACCTTCTTGCTGAGAAGCGAAAGTGCTATCCACTCTGCCACCATGCCGCCCAATGTGGGGGCCTGAAAACACTGTGCGTGGTGGAGGACTTTATAACACTGTTCGTCACTTTCACACCATATCACTGTCAGAGTGGAAGGAGGAAAATACAGAACAATCTCAGAAGACAATCTGTTTGAGTCAGACAAACACTTGAGGCTGAAGTGTAAATCTTATCTTAAGTTCATCCATCAGGGCAATTTCCCACAATTTCCATGAAGCGTGTTCATATAGTGGAATGGCATCATAATGTGAAAGAATGTCCCAGACTAGTCAAATTCAAGACCAATCCAATTAAAAAACTGCTGTTATATTGAAGAATAGAGGGTGGAGGAGGGGGTTGGTGGGCAGTACCTCAATGTGCAAATCTTATAGACACATCACAAATGTGTTTTAGGAAAAGGCAGTTCCACCATGTAAGGCTGAAAAAAGACTGAGAAGGTCCTGGGTTCGGAACAGAGGTTTGTATGTTTTCCCCGTGTCTGCGTGGGTTTCCTCCGTGCACCACTAAAAACATGTACAAAACGTATGGCATCTCTTCTCACTTTGTCTGGTGACCCCGCTCTCACTGAAGGAAATGGGAGGCACTACATAAATGCAGATTACTTACTTACTTCCTTGCATAATTCGTTACATTTCTGGTTTCCACGGCACGTGTGTGTGTAAGCTTCTCTTGTTCACACGTTTGGCCTATTAAAGTTGGATTCAAACCAGTTCTATTATAGACCATATAGGGGCGACAGTAGCTCAGTTGGTAGAGCATTGGCCTTTGAGCCTGAAGGTCGTGGGTTCGAGCCCACCTCAAGACCTACTTCACAACTCCCACTGATGACTGCTGTCGTTGTGTCCTTGGGCAAGACACTTAACCCCACTTTGCCTGAAGCCCCCACTGAAAGATCTCAGCTCCTGTGGACTCACCACCTGCAGGAGGATCAGTGAGGGGCTGGTGCTCTGTGGACTGGGTGCAGCTCTGACTGCCACCCCCCCGACCCAGAAATGGATTAAGGGGAAGAAAATGGATGGATGGATATTATAGACCATAGGAAAGTCAAATTATGTCTCCTTGTTGTCATAAGAGAGTGGGAGCAAAGAATAGCCCAGTGCGCTGCTGTAGCTGCATTATTTATGTAGGAGACATTTTCAAGGGAACATCCAACATGCTTTTTGAATAAAGAGGGCTGCACAATGATAATGTGTCACCCCTAGTTTCAAAGTATCCACAGCTCTGGGAGTTTGAATGTGGATTATTTTGGTATTATTTGCCTAGAAAGATCTGGAATATGAAAATCAAACACCCATCAGCAACAGTCGGTGCCTTATTAGTTTGTCACAGTCACCACACCTTATTTTTTTGTGTTTAAAGAGGTTGTTCTAAAAATAAAATAGGAGGCTGAAACACATACTTCATAAACAGCTGTGTTTAGATCTCCTCATTCAACTCTAAATGTTGATGGAATAGCTTTTACTGTTATCATATTTACTGTATGTGAATGTGTGTAAGTCTAGACACACTTTTGGGTTAACCTACTTTTGTGTGTTGAAATCTACTATGTGGTGTTGAAATTGGGTAAGGGGTTTCTTTTCCACAGTGAATGTTTTACTTGTGGGACTATTCCATGTGGTGGAGATGGGGAGGCTGCATTTCAGATTCATGCTGCTAAAATCTGGAACAATCTTCCTGAAAATGTGGGACAGGCCTCTTCTCTGACCATGTTTAAATCCAGGTTAAAAACAGGTCTGTTTAGCTATGCATACAACTGAGGGATATATATATATATATTTCTATCTTTCTTTTTAATGTATTATTTATGATTTTTTTGTGTGTGATTGTTTCTATCTTGTTTCGTTCCACACTTTGAGTTTCCTTGTGTATGAATTGTGCTATATAAAAAACACATCTCAAGGCATGACAAGTTTATCTGTGTTCAAACAAAAGCCTGTGGGAGTCCGTACATGGGAAAACTATTCCTCATGCCCACCTCTAATATGTTCTCCATGGGCACGCCACAGAAAGCCAAAAATGTTGACCAACATTTTAACTTTGGCCAAAAAACCTTGTCACTTCATCACTGTCCCACCATCCCAAAATCAGAGTTTTGGTGGGAAGGTGGATGGAAGAAAATACAGGACAATCTCGGAAGAAAAGCTGTTGGAGTCAGCGAAACCCTTGATGTAAGTTTTGTAAGGTGAAGATGTAAGTTTTATCCACCATCACGACAATTTCCCTAAAAAAGGTATTCATATAATGGAATGGTTGGAGACTAAACATATTAGAATGGCCCTGTCAAATTCCAGACCGATCGAATCCAGACAAGACAAAAACTGCTGTTATGAAAACATTTGCCATTTAATGTGATGGAGCTTGAGCTGTTATGCAGAAGAATTCCAATGTTGAAGGTCATAATGTCTAGACTTGAGAGCTGCACTCAATTTGCACAAAACCCACTCTTAAAAGTAATACTTTCTGGATTCATATAAATAACTTTTATCATTGTATTTATTATACTTCATAGTGTGCTAACAAGTTAACCCTTTAATGCTCTCTCCTTGAAGAAAGCAATGTATTTTTCCCCTAAGATGTAAGAGCACTAATAACAAAAATACTATCAATCAATCAATCAACTTTTATTTGTAAAGCGCAATTCCTACACAAGGCAACACAAAGCGCCTCACAACCCACATCATATCGAGCAAATCATAAACATTAACCCTCTAGGCGCCATGGTTGACTTAAGTCGACAGTGTGCAGTGTTGTTTAAAGCGGCCGATTGGGATTCAAAATTAATTCAAACTCCTGCCACATAATGGTTTACTGTTGATCCCTGACCCTTGAGCATAGTAGAGTGTGAGTTCTGTTAATACGTCCATGTCCTAGTGATCTGTGTCTGTCAGTAATGAAAAATATATATATCATGAAAATCCATGATTACCGCGCCCATATGACATCATAGTGTGCAAATTAGACGGGTACTTTAAATTCTTACATACACTTTGGGCCATCCTTATAATTTCTCTAATTTACATAAAGCCTCTATCTCTTCTCACTTTTCAGTCATCAAAACTGTCAAAAGATGTCAAAATTGGGCTTCTTAGGGAACAAACTTCTGGCGCCTAAACGGTTAAAATTAAAAACCTCAAAACATAAAAATTATTTGGTTTTATTTTAATTAGATTTTAGGCCTCTAACAAACAGTTCAGAGGCAGCTTGATGGTAAAGTTGCCTAAAACCAAGTGATAGAGATGCCCCAATGAGGTAGATTTCAGTTCCAAGCTTTGATAAAGTGACTCAAAATGTGATCCACCCAATGGTTTTTCTATTTTTCTGCTATGGCATGTTGGTGAGTGAATATGTATAGCCTCTTCACACAGACTCCTCACACCTGCCCCACTCTACACTGTACATTCAGTCCTTTTGTCACCATATCCCCTCATCCCCCTGTGGGACGCCCTGGTGTCCTTCAGCCTGAGTGCGAGGTGTGAGTGGAGCAGGTACAAACAAGTGTCTACAGCCCTCTCATCGCCTCTCCCCGGATCAATATCAGGCTATTAGTGCTTGGCCCGTTTACAGACATTGACTTCTGCACTCATGGGTTATTCATATCAGTCCTACACACTAACCTGGAGCTAAGCATTATGGGAACACGCTGGCTATTTCACGGTGCGAAGAACAAAGCAGGACAGGATTACTACAGCGCCGGTTGTAAAAATTGGCATTGTGGCGGTGAGAAAAGTGAGGTAGAAATAACACTGAATCTATAGGAAAAGTGGAAATATAAATGTTTTCTGTAAGCCATGCAGGACGCCATGCTATCCCGCCAATACTGGGTCGATAAGCAAAGGATGTCAAAGGGACAGCGGGATAGTTACGGTTCACCACCTGCAGCCTGTGTCCAAAGATTACAAATATTCAAGGTTGAAGGTTGCATCGAATCAACATTTTTTGTTCTAAAGGACCAGGGTTGCAGGACTTTGGCTCAGATCTCTGCTTTGTTAACTGAGTTTGATTTCCTGGTAATTTGCTCAAAGTCTTTCTCACAATTCACCCCAATTTCACGCTACTCTGTCCAATTAAAAAATGGCTGCTGCGGTCAACACATTTTTTAAAGAAACTCCAACACAAGTTTTGAAGCCAAATTGCAGAGACGCAGTGAAAGCGTGAAGAGTCAGAAGAAACTTAACTAAGAATTTATCAGCGCGTTTTTTGAGTAAATCAGTCATCACTGGTCTCTGTTATTGCGTTTGAATTTTGTTTAACCAAATGTACTCGTGGAATATTAATGTAAAATGTTATGAAATGCTGCTTACTATATTACAGTTTTTCTCTAGTGCTTAAACATATTTCACGATACTGCCCTCCCTTTTCTCAAAACTCTAAACACAAACCTCTTTTCTAAAGCTACGTACACACAACAACACAGTCTCTTTTCAAAACCAAACCATCACACCAAAACAGTTTCTCATATTCTCAAAACCAACCCATCACACCAAAATACCTCTCATGGTCTGCAAAAATGTGAACACTCTGAGCATCATTAACCACATCACCAAAACAATTGAAAACACAATTTTCAGAATGTGAGACTGTTCTTTTTACAGTTTTACAACTGCCAGGATGCATTTGAGCAACACTTTTTTATTCTCAAATATGTGTTGGGCCTTTACTATAGATTTGCGCGTATCATGGGAATAGTTACATAACGCAGAAAATGCAGTTATATCAAAACTCAATGCAAACATGAGTACTGTAAATTCTATAGAGGATCCATTAGACACAATAGTCATGACGTGGACAATGACTGTTGCTCTTAGTTCATCTGTAATGGAAATGCGTTGTCTTGCTCGCCCTCCAATTCTCTCCCTCCTCGGCCTGCTCCTCTCCCTCCTCGGCCGGCTCCTCTCCCTCCTCGGCCTGCTCCTCTCCCTCCTCTGCCTGCTCCTCTCCCTCCTCGGCCTGCTCCTCTCCCTCCTCTGCCTGCTCCTCTCCCTCTTTGACCTGCTCCTCTCCCTCCTCTGCCTGCTCCTCTCCCTCCTCGGCCTGCTCCTCTCCCTCCTCGGCCTGCTCCTCTCCCTCCTCGGCCTGCTCCTCTCCCTCCTCGGCCTGCTCCTCTCCCTCCTCGGCCTGCTCCTCTCCCTCCTCGGCCTGCTCCTCTCCCTCCTCTGACACGAACTCCTCTTCTTCTGCCTTGATTATCCATTTTCGTTTTGAACCTTCATCAAACTGCACTGACTTATAAAGTTGTGGTCACGTCATTTGCAACAGGAGTTTTCAGTTCTGATGGTTGTGTTTTCTGAATGACACCAGGTTTGTTCATTGTGTTCAGGTTTTGCTAACAATGGGAGACATTTTTCGTCACATGAGCCTCACAATGATTATAGGAGCAGAGATACATGCAAAAAGTGTTTTAGCAAAGGAAAAATGTGTTTTAGCAAAAGAAAATGTGTTTAGAGTTTTGAGAAAAGGGCATGTGTTTTGTGAACAGTGTCTACAGGAGAATTGTGTTTATGGTTGTGAGAAGTGGGGGGAAGTTTTAATAAATGTGTTTAGGCAATTGTTCATTTGGTTTAGAGAACTGGGTTTTGTGTTGTAGCAATAGAGAAAAACTGTAAACATATAACAACATTTAACAAAACACAGTGATGACGGTCCCAAAACTCGCACAATAATAAAAAAATCTGTTTTTTGGGATGAATTTACTCTATTGACATAAACTTAGGGCGCCTTCACACTTCACAACTTGGATTGAATTGGTTCCATTTCACAAAGTTGCTCCATTGTATCGATCTCAGAGCTCACAACAATAGACTTTTGTCAATGTGTTCCTAAAGTTTGTATTTGGCTCTGAGCTCACACACACATACGCAGCAGCAACATGATATTTCATGGTTTTGTTTTGATTTGAATACTAATCTGTTGCGAGGTGGATCCTATAGCACGGATCAGAAATTGATTACACCTTCACAATCGCACCGACCCATTGCACCGAGCCCCCAGTCATACTCTATTTCCAATCAAAAGTGTATTGTGAAAGCGGCCTTAGTTAAGCATACAATTCAGGTCATGTTTGTTCTCTTTTGTAAAATGGTATAAATGAGAAAACGCCCTCTGCACATGAGCTGACAGTTTGCCACTTTACAAGGTTAAATAAGCACAATAACCCAAACGTGAACGCTCCAGTTTCTGTATAACCTCCATTGTATTTGAAGGCCACTTTGTCCCTCCGCAGACTTCCAGAGATGACGTGTGTGTGTGTGTGTGTGCGTGTGTGTGTGTGTGAGTGCGTGAGCGTGTGAGTGCGTGCCTAAATGACTTCACACACCGCTGCACATTGACTCCGGTTTCTGCCCTCTGTTCGCCGCAGCAAATGGACTTTTAATACATCTTTTAATTAGCTTTTCTCTGCACATTTCAGAGGCTGCAACTGCCGGCTGACCTCAACCGCTGTGAGCCTCCACTTGAGAAATCTCACCGCTGAACGTGAGACTGTGGCCAAATGCCTTGAGTGAAGATATGTGGGCGTGCTCCTCTTTACCGAAGGAAAACGAGTCATTTATTCAGAAAGTATAACAACTGCACTATCACAGACCTTTAAATGCTTATTATGCAAAATGTTCTTTTTCAAGCTTTTAACCTGGAGTCGTTTTATTCAATCTATCCATGCTAATGTCAAGATCTTCTGACACAAACTCGTGACTTTGCCCCTTCTTTCTGAGAGACAGGCCTCCTCTCTGACAATGTTTAAAACCAGGTCAAAGACAGTTCTGTTTAGCTGTGCATACAACTGAGGGATTTTATATTTGTATCTTTCTTTTTAATGTTCTGTGATTATTTAGGATTTTAATGCTTTCTTGTTTTGTTCAGCACTTTGAATTGCCTTGTGTATGAATTGTGCTATATAAATAAACTTGCCTTGCCTTGCCTTGCCTTTCTAAAAGCTCCTGTCTTAAAACTGTGGTGTGATTTCATTGTACCATTATGAGTAAAGTACCTACAGTATATCTTTTGCCTTTTAAAACAAAAGTATCTCCCATGAATCCAATTTTCTCGTATGAAATTGCGTTCCTTTCTATTACATGGCGGCGCTTGCAGACGGTATAATTATGAATTTTAGCATATAAATACATTAAAACTAAGGCAAATTCGACTCCTCCCTCTGATGGTAGCATAGGGAGTTACATTTTTTTAGCATTTTTATCCTTAATACTTCTGTCGCCATACATATTCAGATATTATTTCACATTCTAAACAATGAAATAGTCTCATTATAATTTTTAACAGGCAAAAATTGTGCACATTTTTATTTAAAGGTCTATCTTATTGCAAAAATATTAACTGCATGCACAAAAAACACTGTTATTTGTTAGAACTAAGTTAGAAAACAATGTGGGAGTTGATAGAAAGTAAGTCAACGTCTACAAAATGAAAATGATGTAGCCTCTTTGAAAAAAACCCCTGTGAGTTTTATCAATAGAAATGTTATGGATTTGTCAGATAGTGCACTTATGGCACAGAGGCCAGAGCCATCATTTGGTCGATAGAGTAATTAAAGGAGGCTGCGCTGGTATTGACCACGGTACGGTTTTCTGAATAGTGCAGAGATGGTTCGAATGCTTTACGGTGACCACATGGCTCTTTTTTTTCTTTCTACTTACACAGATATTATATAGCATTTGAAAGCTCAGAGATAAAAAGCAAAAAGTCACATTGAAAGCACGTCAGGCCAAGGATAGTGGTAATGATGCATACTTTCAAACCCTAGAATGGTTTCCTCAGCTTTTTGGTGGATCACCTTTTGAGTCACTATTTCTACTTGAAGCTTACGTAACACTGCAAAAAATGATCAAATGTGAGGTAGTAAATGCATGAATAAAGTGTTTTTCATCTTAATTTAAGCACATGTTGACCGTCTAAAAACAATATTTGCCGATGGAACAAGCAAAAAAGTCAACATTCAAAAAATGTCCTGCTTGGAATGAGACATAAATTGCATCACCACTTGAAAATGGACTTATCCGACCTGTTCCATTGGCCAATCTGGTTTTAAGAAAGTCAAAATATAATCAAATTAAGATAAAAACTCCTGATTCAAGCATTTATTACCTTTTATGTTGTCACTATTTGCAGAGAACCCTTTAACATTCACTCCTTGAAGAAAGCAATATACATTTTCTTATTTGGATTTTCTGACGCAGAAGCACCAAGAACACAAATCATTCGTTTTTACATTTTATCTTTTTTAACCTCTATTTTTTGGTTCATTATAGGCCTTTACCAAATGGTTGGGATGCAGTTTGATGGAAAAGTGAGATGCCCCAAAGAGTTAGATTTCAGTTCCCAGCATGCTTCAGGTATAGAGGAAACCATTAAAGGGTTAAAACTGGACTCTACCTCATTGGTTCATCTCTATCACTTGGGTTTAGGCACTTCTACCATCACACTGCATCTCAACCATTTGGTAAAGGCCTGGTAAACGCTGACAAATTGTTGACATTGCCTTTTAAATGGGTTAAGCAAGTGTAACGCTAGGCTAGTAGTGTGAATAAAACCCATGCAAAATCAATTGCGTTTTTATAAAAGATATATATATTGATTGTATTCACAGGTTCTATAAATATAGGTGAGGCATGCGATAATAATATGGATTGAGAGCAGATAACAAAAACAAAACCACAAAAACAAAAAGTGTCCTTATCAGTTCGACTCAGTTATGGCGGTTAATAGCTAAAATATGCAGGACCAGGAGATCATTTAAAACATAACATTTTTTGCGTGGGATTTCAAAAGGGGTCACTCTCTGGCTCCATCGCATTCACTGGAGTCTTATATCTTGTTATAGTTATTTCTATCTGCCCTGTATACACCATACCTTTCTCAACACCGCACTGACTTTAGCGGCCTATTCTTTTGTATGTAGGAGACATCGTGAATCACTTTTGGGTCGATCTGACTTTTTCCCATTCGCTGAAGAAAATCAAAGCAGAGGATTGTATAACTATTGAGTCCATGTGTTCCAATGGCCGCACTGCGAACATGATCTTTGCTCTGGTCGGCACCTGTTTATAGTTTAGTGCCAATCCGTGCTTCAGTTCAGAGCATGGAAGATACACTGTTTTTTTTTCTTTATACAAATTGACTGCAGATCTGTGTTTTTCTTTTGATCTTGAACTTCTGCTATTTCATCTTTTATAGTGTGTATTGGATGGTGTTGGTCGAGTTTCCCCCTTTACCTGTAATTAGTGTTTCGTTCACAGATTATAGGAGCACACCAAACAGTTCATTGAGGTCTCTCCAGTCTTAAGAAAACATTCTCATGTGCTGCTATGGTTTAGTAAGGTTTGTCTTGATTTGAAGGGACAGCTCAAATATGATTAAATAGCTCCTCTAGCTTCCAGTTGCAGTCTCTGGTATCTGAAGTTGAGAATTGTGAGCCTCTTGTGATGTTATGTTGCAGGTTGAGTAGTTAATTATTTGTCAATGAGTTTGACACTTAAATAAATAATTAATAAACATGTACTAATGGTGTATTAATGCACAGTCTTATAAAGTGTAGCCAGCTTCCGTTATTGTCCCCATAGAGACACTTCAATGCCACTAGGGCCTCTGTCTGGAGCAGTAGATGTGGATGTAATGCAGCAAGCGGGGGCCCAGCTGTAGATGTTGATGCTTGGCTTGGTCAGGACTACCAGAGCTGAAAGATTTTACCTATTGTTCATATTTTAGCAGTACAGGGAAAAACAGAATAATTGGAAGAAACTTAGATATAGGGAGAACAACCCCCTCAGAAAGTCATTGTTCCGACCATTATTCTCTCCAAGGACCTTTTTTCTGCGAAGAAAGTGCTTATCCCAGTTCATTCCAAAAGAGGTATAATACTATGTAGGTAATGAACTGAAGAAATGAAGAATGAAACGTATAAATGGCATAGAAAATAACTCTATGCCATTCCATTGCCTGGAGGCCAATCATACACACAAAATCACAAACAACCCAATGTCCACAGGGTAAACACATGAATGATCTGACTCTTACCTGTAGTAAGAAGTCAAACAGTACCAGCCTGCTCCACTCTGAGTGATGCACCCCAACACACGGCTCCTCATGTAGGTCAGTCCTTATCCCACATCGAGCCTTCAGCATCTTCTGATACTGAACGTGGCTCAACGGGACAGAGTTTTGGTCGTTGTTATTGTCCTCCAAGTGTCTTATATCAGGGTCCCACCACACTACGGGCCTGGGCGCCCCTCGGATGTATCGATATGGGAGGATGTCGCTGTGGAATGACCTCAGTACAGCAGGGAGACTTCGGTTTAGCCCCAAAACCCGGTCCAAGTGAAAAGCGAAGACCTCAAACCAGTCCTCTTGTCTTTTGACCAGAGAACACTGCCCCCTGTGGCAGCGCTCGGTGTGGGACAGAGATGGAGAGTCCTCAAATGTCTTCCCCCGTGTCTGTGATGGAGTACAGAAAAGGCCAAGATAAACAGTTAACACAATCTTAAAACGCGAAAGCTACTAAATATGTTTGGATATGTTTGGAGGATAAAATCTATATATATCTAGATTTTATCCTCTAGCTCTCAAAAACATGTTTGAGGAAAGGGCCTACTTTATTAGCCCAGAGGCAGCAAAAACTCCTTGGCAACTGTTGTTGAGCAAAATATAGACATAGACACAGAGGAGAGTGTTCCTACATTTAACTCTATCTAATTGTATTTTAAAAAGCAACAAATATTGTGTATGTTTAGCAACTTAATTGAACAAGCTGATGTATAATTGACTTTTAAATGAAACTTTATAATCCAAACTGAAAGTATTAAGTACTAATGCTCAATGCTGTGTCTTTGTTTTGGTTACAGAGTGATATAGGACCTGTGACTTAACATGAGACTTATACAGTATAAATCAACAGTAGTTTGCATTGGAATCCTCGCTGACCATGGTATAATGCTCGCTCAAGGATATTTGGAAACTATAATGAATGTATTTTCAAATAATATGTGTTGTGTTGGACAGTTCATTATACACAAACAGACACAGCATGCTTTGTTGACTGTTCCTGTTCTCATAATTAAATGATTCGGTAGACAACTGTTCACACAAGCAGTGCCTATCACAGCAACTAATTAGTATAGTCCAATTGTAATACAGTTGCTGACTTCTATATCAGCTTCGGGAATACAAACTGCATAGTATAGACCGCACCAATATATTTTTAGCCCTTATAGACTAAATGCAAAGTCTTATCTGTCCTTAATTCAATGTTAGTATGATATATATTGAAAGCACAGTAGCACTGAGCAAAAAAAAAGATAAATTAAAGCTGTATCTGACATTTAATGAGGAGATTCCATAGACAAATCCAGATATAATCAACCAATCAATTTCCTATTCACAATACCTGTGTTTGGCCAGGCATCTCCAGTGCCACCTGAAGAACTTGTCCGTGCGCTGGGACCCTAGCCTTGGTCACAGGCTTTCCTCCAGCAAGCAGCTTCATCTTCTGAACGTCATCCTTACTGAACCAGGGCACCTCCCTTCTGTCTGGACTCACCCGTATACCACCACCCCCTGGGGTTTTCCCTGGCTTAAAACTAGTGCATTTAACACTAACTCTTTTTCCAGTAGGAGGCAAATGCACGACTGATGCATTGTCCTCCGAGATGGCATTGCGCTTTTGGAAACTCCTGTGTGACTTTCCGTAGTCCTCGAGCGCTGCTGCTTTGTGTTTTGCTTGCGTTGCACTTTTAGCATTTTCCAGTTTTATAGCATTGTCTCCCACAGAAAGTACATGACCTGCTCTGGATTTACCCTTTTCAACTTGAGCGGAAGAGTCTCTGCTGTGGAGGCCTGACTTAATTCTAGGTTTTGAGTTTTTGCTATGGCCTGTAAACTGTGGGATTTGTGGATTGGCATGACCGGGTTTCTGCCTGGCACTGCCTCCCGTCTGCTTTTCACTCGCCTCTGTATTTTTGGACGTACGGTTTCGAGAGATGTTTTTGTCATCACCGTTATTTACAGAAGTTTTTGTCTTCTTCTTACGATCGCTTTCCCGGCTTGGCACATTTTTCACGCTGTTTTTTTGGTGCAAAGCAGTCGTGGAAAGTTGCTCCAAACTCCTCGGTCTGGGCTTGAACTCGTGGGCGGAGCTTAAAGCGCGGGAAGGCCATCGGTTCGCGTCAGGATGCGGGGCAGGTGGAGGTAGGGTGAGGGCCATGATGAAAAGGGTGAGAAGTAGCAGGAATATGGGGGAAAAGAGGAGGACCCATTTGTGACCAGGGAACCATTTGGACCACACCCGCCATGCCTGAAAAACAGACACAAGACCAAACAAAATAAGCCACGGAGCCATAATTATACTGCAAAAGTATACGGTGGAATGAACGGGCCGCCCGATTTAACCAAATATAAGTAAGTTTCATAAGAGAGCCGTCACAGCAAAGAGAAATGCTTCAGGGGAGAGTGGAAAAAGCTGCAGTTTGTCTGTTTTTCATAAGTTTCACACAAAGACACAAGACCAAATGTCAAGATTAAGTAAAATTAAAAGTCACTTAAAATCCATCATAACAAAAACTGCATCATCGATTTAAAAATTTCAAATACATACAGTTAATTTTGCAATAATTTGATATATATTTTATTTGTCATTTGTGAAAATATTGATTTAGATGATACAGTGCTATGGAACTTTTACTACCTGACCTGATCCAGCCTTACACCCCAGCCAGGGCTCCGAGGTCTGTGGATCAGAACCTCCTGATGGTTCCACGCACTTGCTTCAAGACCAGAGGAGACAGGTCCCTCCAGGCTGTTGCTCCCAAGCTTTGGAACGTTCTCCCGCTCTCTCTGCGTTCTATAGAGTCTGTTGAGTGCTTCAAAAGTCAACTTAAAACCCATTTATTTGTTCAGGCTTTTGCGTAAGTTTGTCTTGCTGTATTCTTTTACATGGTTGTCTTGGCCTTTAAAAATTTGTATGTCTAATTTATATGTCTGTTTTTATACTATGTGAAGCGCTTTGTGACCCTGGTCTGTGAAGGGCGCTATATAAATAAAGTTTACTTACTTACTTACTTACTTACTAGTACTATGGAACTATAAGTCCTGACTAGAACCAGGAAGTACGACCACATTAGTCCAGTCCTCAGGTCTCTGCACTGGCTTCCTGTGGCTCAGAGAATAGACTTTAAAACAGCTCTGCTTGTGTACAAGTCTCTCCATGTAGTACATCTGTGACATGTTAACATGGGGAGGCTGCTTTTCAGATTCATGCTGCTTCCTGAAGATGTGAGACAGGCCTCCTCTCTGACAATGTTTAAAACCTGGTTGAAAACAGTTCTGTTTAGCTGGGCATACAACTGAGGGATTTTATATTTTTATCTTTAATTTTAATGTACTGTGATTATTTATGATTTTAATGCTATCTTATTTTGTTCAGCACTTTGAGTTGCCTTAAAAACTTGCCTTGCCTTGCTTATTATTATTATAATTTTTTTTTTAATTTCACCTTTATTTAACCAGGAAAGTCCCATTGAGATTATTGCATTTATTCTGGAATTAAAAGTACATATTTGCGTTCAAAGAAAACGTTTGATATGTGGGAAAATTACTAGTGTTTAAAATTGGGATTTCAATCATAAGTATTATTGTTTCTAAAATTGAACTGCATATGTTTGAAAGCCATGTCTTTTTGTGCTGCTGCCCAGTTCAACCGCGAGCGCCGCCACATTAACGTCAACGAGAAAATTATTCATACCATAAACTTCACAGTAAAAGTTCTTCACAAAGCATTTTCTAGTGGTGAACAGACAGGGTGCAATACTAAAAATCAAACCATCATTATATTAACATAAAAATAAACCTCAAAAATGTATCGCAAATAAGAAAAATCTTTAGATGAGGCATGGACATACCAACACATTTTGACCTGAGACAGGCTTTTGTCTTTCTGGCTTCTATTCTCTCTTCCTCATACTAAGGGTGAAATGTCTTGCTCAAGGTCCCAACCGCAGCATACAGTGAAACACATGCATCCATCTGTCTTTTCCTTTGCCTTTTAACATCACTCTAAATGCAAATAAACACAAACACCAGCACTGATCTTGCTGCAAACACCATATTGTATCAGCACCAGCGAATATAGAGTCTTTCTCCATTACAGTAGTTACAGCAGAATTGGACTTATCCTGCTGAGACCAATACCACAGTGACATCCCATAATTCAGAGCTGCCTTCTGCTTGGCAACACACAGCAAAAGGGGAAAAGATATATTTTGCACAACACTGTCACTGCTGCCCCGGCCTGACTGCACTCCCTGCGCAAGATGAAGGCGCAATGAAGTGATTTTTTAAAAGAAACTCAAACTGCATGGGGTTTTTATTCACAGGACCTGCCACACTATTAATTTCCCTTCGCACAGTATAGTTGACATTCACATAATAACCGTGGGGTTTCAAAGGGGCTATTGTGTGGAAGTGTATGAGGGTTGAAAGGGGGAAGCTTCATGGCAAAATGCATTGTGTGACAAACCGATGTCCAAGGGAAAGGCAAGGGGGAGATGAATAGATACAGTGGCAAAAGAGCACGTCGCTGCAGATTCAAAATGCTGTAATTGTACATTGTGATTGGTATATTGTAGAGCGAGAAATATCTTTATGTAGGTGCCGCCTTTGACATATGATGCAATAGGAGGATATACGGCAGCAAAACTAATCAGATGGAGATCAGAGCGTATAACGGTTTCATTATGAGGCCTGGTTATAGTGACTCTATCCATGCCAAATGCGACATGTACATAGATAGATAGATAGGTAGATACTTTATTGATCCCCCGTAGGAGAAATTCAGGAACATCTTCCCTCCAGTGGATTTACACTTGATCTGCTTGTTTCGGACCGTGCATCCTCTTTGCTCTGATCAGTGTAAAACAATAAACACTGCACTGGAATGAAATTAATCTACAGCTATAAAAAGTAAGAAAAATGACGGTTGTTGTAGAATACGATATCTTCAGAGCTGCTAGAACATGCTGCCGTTTTCCAGCGTATTCAAATCTTAACATTGGTATACATTTCTCCAGTGTGAGATCATTTAAGTCTTCTCTTATCTTATTATACTTATCTATTGATGGAAAACAGTGATATTTGAGGAGAGCTTGTTACTCACAGCTAGAAGGTCGCAGGTTTGAGAATGAGGGCTGTCTACCATTTACAGTGGGGGTAAAAAGTATCTAGTTAGCCACCAATTATGCAAGTCCTGCCACTTAAAAAGATGAGAGGACTTTGATCCACTAAATGATTTCACAGTGTCAATTGTTTCCAGCACTTTTTGGTTGTTTTATTCCTGTACTTTTAACCTTGTTTTATTTTCGTATGTACCTGTCTGGTGCACACTGGGCTTTTTAAAATGTATGGAGTTTGTGGAGTTTTATTGTAAATGGCAAATAAAATGAATCAGAATCTGAATCTGAGCGATCCTGTAATTTTCATCAAAGGTATATTTCATCAATGAGAGACTGCGATCTTGTCCTTGAGGTCATTTACCAAAGCTCACACCCATATGTCACTCTGTTTAATACAGTATACTGTGATTATTTATGATTTTGATTTATGTTCTTGTTTTGTTTACACAAGGACTTCAGAAGTAGGAAACTAATAGAACTCCCAGAGCCGTCATTTTGACTCCTCCCCTTGAAATCAATGACATTCTGAAAAGTTAGTTAATTTACCATCAATTTTATTCAAATGTACCTTTAGTCACTTTTAATAAATGTGAAAACAGGTGAATATAACTATGAAAAACAGGAGAAAAAACAGTTTGATGAAAGGCTAATGCTAATAAGGCCCTAATATACAATAAGTGGATGCTAGAATCATGTTACCACTTTTCAATTTAGGATGCAATGATGTATTTGTTTACGGAACACACCTATACAAGATGTAAGTCTGTTTTTATTATTTTTATTTATATGGGAGATTCTTGCTTTAGAAAACAGCTGCTCTAAAAGTGCCATCCTGCTGTGGTTTCCTCTTTGCTAAAATGTGCCACAATGCTCCCAAACAGTCCTTAAGTTTCCAGTCCCGAGCTTTTAATCCTCAGAACTGGACCACAGCCCGGCATGAGCGCTCTCCTAAAGCCTTCGCGGTGCCCTACTTTCCGGTCCTCACCTATGTACGAGCCGAGGTTAAAATGTAGCAGTTTTCAGTACTGCTTTGACCTATATAACTCGCCTCTTCTCCGCTGTTTGACTGAAGGCTGCTTAAAGGAATGTTTAAGGACCCTGAGGATGTCGTTCCCATCTCTCATCCACTAACGGGGTTTCCAGAGCTCTCCTCCTATGAAAGGATGCCATTATTCGTCCAAACAGCGCTGGGAAAGAGGTGCCGTCTGCAGCAGCAAGGCCAATATGACAGATTATGTATATTTCTAACAGCAGGGGGTCAAATGAGCCAAATGTGGCGAATAGAAAAGACTTGTATGTAGTATGTATGCAGAGCTGAGAAGTTATGCCGTCATGGTGCAACATTTACCAGGGAATTATACAACTATGGACTCTCTTTCTATGCTGTCTTTCATATTTTCTATACCTATAATTCACTGCACATCCCTTTATCTATCTAAACCGTACATGTGTCAGCTCTCCCGTCAGCAACGCGACCACCTGAGCTTGCCAATCTCATCCAGCAGTTTTCTATTTTAGTCCATCCAGGACAAACTAGCTGAACCAAGGTAATTGATTTGAAAAGTTGAAAGTCTATTAGATATATTGTGCAGCAGATGATCCTATACCAGGCAAAACACCGGATTATAGAATCAGACAATTAGAATTAAGTTAGCCAAAGACAATGATAAAAGTCCATACAATTATGCAGTGGATTCTTAGACCATTCTGCAAAAAGCCTCAAGACTGTGAAGCTACAACATTACAGTATAAAGCCCCTGTGCATGGACAAGGCTATATGATCTTCTACACTCAGGTTTATTTTCCCTCATGAAGACAGGTCCGTGCGCAGTCAAAGAACTTTTGTATCTTGTGTCTTTTTCATAGTGTTGGTATGGTTCAAAATCTGTTTTATTTTCCCAGAGGCTTTTCCTGATGGAGAATAACAGTGACAGATCACCACCAATATGTTAGTAATCACTATTATGAAATCCAGACAGAACACAAAAGACAGCTCCAGAGCAAGAGGAGCAAAAGCCTATAATAAGTCCACATATAA